GGACGTGCCTGGAGGGTGCGGGAGGAGCAGGGACGTGGTGCACTCAGGGGAGGAGGCAGAGAAGAGGTAAGGCAGGGATGGGGACTTGGGGGTGGGGAGGGGGCAGGGCTGGGGTGGGAAAAGGCAGGAAGAGAGCGGGGAGGTTGGGGAAGGGGTGGAATGGGGGTGGGGTGAGGACGGTGCAGGGGCAGGAAGAGGTGGGGCAGGGGCGGAGCGGGGGTCAAGCACCCACCGGGCAGAGGGGAAGTCAGCGCCTATGATTGACACAATAAATGGAGAGATGTTTTTGGTCTATCCACTAAATAACTAGCCCTGGCCAGAACCACTTTTAAAGATGTGTATTTAAGCTTCAGACAGGGCCACTGATGGTCGGCAGATATTGCACTTGATGGACAACTGGTCCAATATAACACACCATTTGCCTTGAGGCCTTTCAGTGAGACACTTAAGGAGCTCAATCTCTTTAGCTTCCTGAAGAGAAGGATATGAGGTGACTTGATCCCAGTCTATAAATACCTCTAGTGGGAGACGGTACCGGAGATTTGAAAGGCTCCATGGCCTAGCAGACAAAGGCAGAACTGCAGTGACTAGAAGCTAAAGTTAGACAAATTCAAATGGGAAATGAGATGTAGACGGACAAGATTAAGATTAGATAAAATAGACAGACAGCGACTGATTTTTAACGCTGTGGGTAATTAACTATGGGCACAACTTACCTAGGGATGTGATGAATTCTCCATCAGTTGGAATTGTTAAATCAAAATTAGGTGTCTGTCCAAAATAGACACTCTAGCTCCACCACAAGTGGGTGAAGTTCTCTAGCCTATGTTACACAGGAGGTCAGACCAGATAATCACAATGGTCCCTTCTGGGCTTAGAACATGAACATCTAGGTCGCGACTGTATATAATCTCTCTACATGCTCATCTGCCCTGGGAAACCATGTAATAAAGACCAGGATAGCCATTAGCACATGTTTCCATCATAGGGAGCTCATAGGAAAATGATGCATTTAATTGTTATCAGAGCCACACACCCTCTCTACATTCATTCTGGCCACAGGAGGTATTCCCTGGATACTGTCACGGCCCAGCCACCAGACGTTAACATCACGTCTGACACCAGGGCACCAGCAGGCCAGCGTGTTGGTCCCTGGGCTAGGAGAGCTGGGAATGGCCATAGGGGAGGTGACAGAGGTGGGGGACTCAAGTGTGGGGGTGAGGGGATGAGGTGCCAGGAACCCCCAAAGAGAGGTCAGTCACCCACAGGGCAGGGTTAGGAGCTGAGAAAACCTGGGGATTCATGTGCCCCCCCCCCCACAGCTACAGGGTTCTTACAGGCACAAAGAGACGCTGACTCTTGGGGGCAAAGGACAGCGCTACCACCCCGATGCAGACTCTGAGGAGTTGTAGATGGGGATGGCTATAGCTCGATTACAGAGACGCTGCTCAGTTATCCAAACGCACACTCCAGAGGCCTGGAAAGGGCCAATCCAACTCCCTCGGCCGTCAAAGGAAAGGCGGCCGCTGCCCTCAGTGAATGCTTCTAATGCAGGAACACAGGCACCGGGGCAGAGCTCCGTTTGCACCTGCCCGGTTCCCTGAGATGGTCTCTGCTGAAGGGTCAGAAGTGTTTGCGATTTCCACAGTAGTTAAGGGGGGGCGGGGGAGGGGGATACTGACCAGGATAATAAGGCCACCTCATGGACTGCACTTAGCAAGCTCGGGCCAGCACCTCTGTCAGGCCAGCGCTGGGCCCTGCTGAGCTGAAGGGGGTGAGGAGGGACCGTAGCATCATTCTGCAGCTGCCCCCACCAGGCCCACGTTGGCTGGCAGAGTTTGCTGGAGCACAGCAGCCTTGGGTCACGTCCCAGACAGAGAAGAATAGCCCAGGGGCAGCGAGGGGGTGATGTCAAGGTGCTATGCCAGCTCTATGCCATGCGGCAGTGCCTCCCCGCACTGGGGTGCATCCCCCCCGTGTCAGATCCAGCAGCCACCCCGCCCCTGGCTGCTGCAAGCAGGGACAGGCCAAGAGCAGACATCGCGCACGATGCAGC